ATTATAGATTGAAATTGGGCGACACACACTGTTTTTTCGTTTTCCATAGGCTTGGGTCTAATTTCTTCGACAGTAGTCGTAAGTTCGCTTGCCAAATTCTATTGCGTATATGGATTGCCCACTATGAGGGGACGCATGTGGCACATGAAAATGAGCACTTGGAGTATTTCACGAACTCCTTTTGTTATTTCATTTTTTCTCGTAGCGTTTTCTAGTGCGCTTATTCTTTTGGTATCAGCACCATTCTGGATCTCTTCCATTCTGTCGATACGTTCGCGGGCTCAAAATTTCAAGTAAACTTAATGCGTAGTGCTTTGCGATCTTTCCAACTTCTGACTGAATTTTTCGTGCAACTTTTGTAGCTTTCATGATTTCCGCTGCGTTTTTAATTCCGTTAAGGATTGTGCAATTGGGAGGGATAGATGGTGAAATAAGGACAGCAACCCAACGAGACAGCGGATGAAAACAAACCCTCGCAAAATTTGTATTTCTAACTCACTGTCGTGCAGAAAAAGTGTAGTGCTTGTTAGTCGTCAAAATGCTTTTGATCAAATATTTTGAAGAACTAAATTACTGGAGTAAGAAAACTGAAAGTGCACCTGCTAAATAGAATGCTTCGATGCATACGTGTGAGTATCCCGTTTCAGTACCACAATTTTAACGCATTGACACGCTGAAGAAATTGCTTGATTCGGAGCGTCGGTTGCGAACGCGGCTTATTAATTGCCGATACAGGACACCTAAATTGGGTGTTTCAACTTGTGTCGCTGTGATAGCACCGATACGACGACAAACACACACACAGGTATAGGGAATGCGGTAGACACTCCCGCACAGCACACGCATCCATGCTTGTTGGTGTGGAACAACAAGACGGAGAGGGTGCAGGAGTGCATGGATGCGGCTGGCCACCACTGCCTCTCTCTCAACATGGAAAAAGAAGCAACGGGCAGGAAAATTTTTTCGGTTGCTGAACAACGAATTAAACAGTTACCTGCGTTCTTCCTTTGTCGCAGCTTCTGAAGCGGTGAAACGAGTATCCATGGATAAGGCACGCCGTGCATCCAAGGCGCTGGTCGCGGTCGGGCTGGGCAGTGTGTTGAACGCATTTCTGGCCGGCTGCATCCAGGCCGAGAAATCCTTCCACACCGAGCATTTCACGAACACGCACTGGATCACCATTGTAACGTTGTTCGCCGGTATTGCCTCGATCCGTTGCCCGTCGTTCACTTATCTCACCACGTCGTTCATCCTGGCTGTCACGCTCGATATCGCAGCGTTGGCCGTTTGTTCGGCTTGCGTAATTGCCGATTTCTTCAATGTACTTACAATCTGCAGCGGCTTCGCAGCATTATCTGCAAATGCATTCGTAACGAAACTACAGGTACGCAATTTCTTATAATAAACGTATAAGTTTGAGGGAGAAAGCAATGACCTGTATTCAAAGGGAGCGAGCGCGAATTCATCTGTATTTTGTTCCCCCGTTGCCTGGGTTATTTAGGCACGTCTCTGTACTAAATTAATTTCGCTGTGTTACTTTTTCTGGCGCAGTCTGGTACTTTACGAGTTAATTGGGTGCCTTTTTGTTAAATTTAGCACTGTAACCGGAGGAACGTTTACCATTGGCAAACCATACACATCCGGACGATTTAACTTTGTCTATGCGAGGTACTGAAAATAAGTAGCAAAATAGTGAACAGTTACAATGACATACAGTTATTTGATTGCTCCCGATATCTTTTACGCAGCGTGGATAGTACGCTTCAATTTTGACAGTCCTTTGCACTTTCTTGCAATTGCGGTGGCCGCTGACACTGCAGATCTTCAGTATGTCCATCACTACACGTGATATTTGCTTAGATCCCTTCCTTGTCCGATCCTAATATTTCAAAGTTCAAAAAATCAAAACTCCTTCTTTCACTGTCTGTGGAAGACCAGAAATAACCCGAATGGTAGCTAGCGCAGGCAGCACTTATTCTTCAGCAAGTCTGATTATTGCTGTTCTTGTGAGTGTTGCTTTGAAACAAACGATTTCGATTCCTTTGCGTATAACAGTACCAAATTGCTATCAAAATGAATG